TAGGAAATGAGGGTGGAGAGGTGGGCAGGGTTCAGATATTATAAGCTATTGGAGTAGCCCATGTGAGATCTGATGGTGGAGGGTAGTGAGAAGTGATTGGATTCCAGATACTCTGGGCAGTGGGGAGAGGATGGATATATTACTCAAGGTAGAGAAGACAGGACTTACTGATGGACTGTATGTGGGAGTCGGGTGGGGATAAGGAAAAGAAATATTGACTCCTAGATTTGTAGTCTAGGTTCTGATGCATTGTGTCTAGCACAGTGGTTAGCTTACAGTAATAAGCAGGCCAGTACCCAGTCTCTAGGAGCTCACATAGAAAGTTAACCAGTCCATCCTTGGAAGGCTTGTTGGCACTTCACAGAACAAAGATGGGTCTGAATTTTCATTTCTGGCGGGGGGCAGTCCTCTCACAGTATTAAGTTCCTAGTCTAGGGCAAAGGAACAGTGGCCTGGGCTCCAGCTGTCCTGGTTGCAAGCACCTGTAAGTGGGATGGAGATAGATACAGAAGCCTTTGCTCATCCTTAGCTTCCTGGGCCTTACAATGCTGTTATCTTCCCTGAACTTGTCTGACAACAGTGAGTTGGAGGATCAGATGGGACAGTGTAAATGGAGACTCTGTCTTGGCTTTACCTGCTTATGGTTTAGTTTTTTTTTTCCCTAAAATAATCTTAGGGACTTCCCTGGTGGCGCAGTGGTTAAGAATCCACCTGCCAATGCAGGGGATACAGGTTTGATCCCTGTTCCGGGAAGATCCCACATGCCGCAGAGCAACTAAGCCCGTGCACCACAACTACTGAGCTTGCACTTTAGAGCCCACGAGCCACAACTACTGAAGCCTGCGCACCTAGAGCCTGTGCTCCACAGCAAGAGAAGTCACTGCAATGAGAGAAACCCGCGCACCTCAATGAAGTGTAGCCCCTGCTCGCCGCAACTAGAGAAAGCCCGCACGCAGCAACGAAGACCCAATGCAGCCAAAAATAAATAAATAAAACTAAAAAAAATTTTTTAAATCTTAAACTAATTTTTATTCATAAAGGGCAAAAAAGGAAAATATTACTTGCTTGCTTGAAAAAGAATTGAATAACATAACAGACCAGAAGATGTAATAAGATCATTATTGTCAAATGAGTGACACAGTAAGTGATTTTCTCGAAAACCTTCAGCGCCTACGCACTGTCTGCAGGTGAAAGTCTGCCTTTCTTAACCTGGCATAAAAGCCTTCCAGAATCTCCCCTAGGTACCTTTGCCACTTTCTCTCTCATTGATCTCCCATATGCATCTGGTGCTCTAAACGTATCATACTATTTCTCATTCTTTCCCTCCAACCCCAGAACTATTGCTATTTGTGTTTTCTTTTCCCTCATCCGTTTTCCAAGTCCTTCCCTCATTCTTTCATCTCCGACCCAGACTTCAGATCCCAGGTGAGATATGTTGTTCCCTGGAAGCCTTTCTAAATTGCTCTGTCTCTTGCAGATTTCTTCCCTGCTTAGATGCTCTGATCCTAGTAGTTGGCAGCGTCAGTTTTATTTAGCAGTGAGTTGTGGCATACGTACACAGAGCAGAGCATGAATATGGAATCGTTATGTTTCAGAGGCAGACTTTACCAGTCTCTGAACACTGTTGCCTTCCAAAAAGGCATTTCAGTTTCACAAATTGCAAAACTGTTTCATATGCCCTATTGGTTAAAATTATATGCTGTAATTACTTACCAAAAGTAGACATTGTTTCTCTTATATCTGCAAAATTTCCAAAGGAAGTTGGCTGACCGCTGTCAGGCTTACATAGAAGGGATATCCCTCTCTTTTAGTTCAATTCTCTTAGACTCTCAGTAATTCACACGGGAAGCAGTGCCAGTGCTGCTGTTTAGTCACCAGGATAAGACAGCTTTCTAAGTAGTCACACTGCATGTGCCTAATTAAAGAAGAAAGTACAGAAATGTTTTTCCTTTTTGTGTTGCCTGAACTGCCATTATACTTTAATATATGAATATGTAAATGTATTTTTCAAATGTTTCGTTGATTTTTTTTCCTCCAGTTCCTGCAACGTAATGTGGAAGGTTCAAGTGTTTTCTTCTTGAACCTTTCTCTTCTTCACTCTCAATTATCAATGTTGATAAAGGGAGAAACTACCCTAGATGATACAGGAGAATCCTATTTTACTGAATTTCATGGAATATGTAGTATGTATTCCAACTTTCTGAAAATGGGAGTCTGGCTATAGACTGTATTTCAAGGATAAACACTGTGACTTCATTTTTCATGAAGCAATTGGTGAGTACTGTAATTGAAAGCAGTAACAGGCTTGGGGGAATGAGAGGATTTTTGTGCAAAAAGGGATACTTGAAAAATTTGTTCCAGAGTAGATATTTCCACCTGAAAATAAATATTGCTTTGCATCCTGTTTTTTCTGTATTTCAGTTATTTGTTTAGCAAATATTTTCGTTCCTATTTTCGAAAGCATGTACTTGGACACTTCAGGGGATACAAAGATGAAACAGAATGGAGCTTGCTCTCAAGGAGCTTAATTTGTGTGGAGGTCATACCTACAATTTAGTTTAAGATAATTTTTAACATAGTTTTATATTGTTTGGGGTTTTAAAATAGGCTTGAAAAAAGTAGTTTTGAGGAGAATTTTAGGGGGTGACTAGGATCAGTAAAAGACTATAGATGGTTTTTGGATTCAGATTGATGGCTAAATCATTTCCACTTCTAGGACTGTTTGTGAGTGAATACCTAATTTTTTGAGAGTTGGAGATGGAAAAGGACTATGGCCATGAGTATAGAGAAAGTAGAGTTGGGCACAAGTTTGTAGATGTCAGTGCCAGGTCATTTTGGGTAGCAGGTAGGTGAAACTGGGATGTGTAGGATAACTGAATTTCAAAGTGCTTAGAAGTACCTCAAGTTAGAGAAAGCTAATTAGGTAGGTGATAGGAATAGTAACATGCTCAAAAAAATAGCTATTCTTGGAGTCTTAAAATCTGGATTTTATTATCTGGCTCAGTCACTTACACAAGCTAAATGAATTACTAAATTGGTCAAGACATTTCACTTTATTATGATCTATCTATATCTTTATATTTAATGTGGGTTTCTTATAGACAGCATATAGTTGGGTCTTATTTTTTAAATCTTATCTGGCAGTCTGTTTAATTGGCATGTTTAGACTATTCACATTTTTAAAATATTTATTTTATTTATTTTATTTTTGGCTGCGTTGGGTTTTTGTTGCTGTGCGCGGGCTTTCTCTAGTTGCGGTGAGCGGGGACTACTCTTCGTTGCAGTGCACGGGCTTCTCATTGCGGTGGCTTCTCTTGTTGCGGAGCACGGGCTCTAGGCACGCAGGTTTCAGTAGTTGCAGCACGCGGGCTTCAGTAGTTGTGGCTCGCGGGCTCTAGAGCGCAGGCTCGGTAGTTGCGGAGCACGGGCTTAGTTGCTCCGTGGCATGTGGGAATCTTCCCGGACCAGGGATCGAACCCGTGTCCCCTGCATTGGCAGGCGGATTCCCAACCACTGCACCACCAGGGAAGCCCCGACTAGTCACATTTAATGTGGTTTCTTTTTAATATGTTTGGATTAAATTCTACCATCTTGCTAGCTGTTTTCAATGTGTTCTATCTGTTTTGGGTCTCATTCTTCTTTTGGGTTAATTGAGAATTTTTTATGATTCTATTTTGTCTCCACAATTAGCTTATTATTTATATCTTAAAAAAATTTATTGGTTACCCTTGAGTTTACAATGTACATCTTTAATCAGAGCCTAACTTCAAATAGTATTATATTATTTCATATATAGTATAAGACCTTACAATTCTTAATTCCCCCTACCATTCTTTGTGCTCTTGTTTTGTGCATTTTATTTTGCATGTGCTGTAAAAATGCATTTCTATTTTTGCGTTAGACAGTTATTTCTTTTAGAGCAATTAAAGATTTTTTTAGTTAAAAATAAATATTGTTTTCATTTGTTCCATTTCTTAGACTTTATTTGTTGTGTACTGTGTAGACCTGAGTTTTTGTCTGGGGTGTGTGTGTGTGTATGTGTGTGTAGTAGTGCTGGTCTGCTGGCAATAAATTCTCTTAGTGTTGGTCTGAGAAAGTTTTTATTTCTTCTTCATCCTTCAAAAAATATTTTCCCTGGGGATGGAATTCTGGGTTGACAGTTATATTTCTGTGATAAAGGTATCACTCCATCTTCTGGCTTGTATGGTTTCCAATAAGAAGTCTGCTGTAATTCATATCTTTGTTCCTGTGTATGTAGTGTGTTTTTTCTTTTTTTTCCTTTCGCTGTCTTTAGAATTTTATCTTTGTCTTTTGTTTTCAGCAGTTTGAATAGGATATGTGTAGGTGTGTGGTGCTTTGTTGTTTGGTTTGGTTTTGTATCTGTCCTTCTTGGTATTCTCAGAGATTCTTGGATCTATAGTTTGGTATCTGTCATTAATTTTGGAAAATTCTTGGCTATTATGTCTTCAAATATTCCTTCCACCCATTCTCTGTCTTCACTTTTTGGGATTCTAATTATGCATAAGTTAGTTTGTTTAATATATCCCACAGCTCTTGGATTTTCTCTTAAATTATTATTTTTCATTTTTTTTTTTAATTCTCTTTTTCTTTTTTAGTTTGGGTAATGTCTATCGACTTATCTTCAATTTCATTGATTCTCTCTTTGGCTCTGTCAGGTTTGATGGTCCTGTCAGAGGCATTCTTTATCTCTGTTACCACGTTTTTCACTTTTAGTATTACATCTCAGTTCTTTCTTACAGTTTCCATCATCCTGTTGCACTTTCTAGTATTAATTTTTATCTTTTTCCTTTCCAGCTAGCTGCCATTTAGGGCGAGATTTGAATTTTGTTAGTTTTTTCTTATGCCTCTTTTAGGTTTGGAAAAGCGTTTTGGCCCAGAACTCACTAAGAACTATTCCAAAATAGAAGGACATAAGGAATGCACTCAAACTAGCTTGGCCTGAAAGTAGGAAGTGAGAAGAGAGTTATAGACCAGTTGCACTGAGGAATGAAGAGCTGCTGTGTGTATTCACCAATCTGATTGACTTGCCCAGGGTAAGTGGTCATCTAAATCTGTTCTTTGCTTCCTTATCTATTTAACAAGACCATCAATGTAACTACTGTTTTACTCTTGTTCAATGGGATGACCAGCTATAGCCCTTTTATCCTAAACAAAATTAATGTGGGTTACTTTTACAAATATTGTGTTCTTGAATGGGTCATGGGTCCTGGATAATGGCATCTTGGCAACATTAGGCTTATAGAACCTCACAAGGGCCTATCTTTCTGTCAGTTCTGAGGCAGGAAACAACCCGAGTCCTTTGTCTAATATATTTTATCTCTTATTGGCCACAGTCATAAATTTGTTTATTCATTTATTATTTCCTTCATTCAAATATTTTGTAAGCCTGCTATCTCAGAGTTACCGTACATTGTTGATGATTACAATGATGAACAAGACGTCCTTTCCTCCAGGACCTGGAGAGACTCTTCCTTAACTAATACAAAAGTATGGTTAGTACTGTGACGGAGGCATGAAGTGCTATGGGACACAGATTCATTTGGGCTGGGGTCAGTGCTCTGAAGAAGAGATAACATTTTAACTGGGTTTTAAAAATGATTGGGGTCTTGATAGAGAGTTGGATGGCCATTCTAAGCTAAGCAAACAGCCAACGCAAAGCCACTGATTTATGAAGTGTTTGGCAGTTTACACTCTGTTCCTCTGAAGGTCTGTTTCTTTTTCCTTCTCTTTTACTCTTATTACAAGACTTATTTTTTGTTGTCCCTCCTCTCTTTTTGCTTATTTTTACCTTCTTTGTTTTCCTGTAGATCTTAGCGGTAGGTCTTATGGCAGTAGTTTTATAGTTTAGGACCCGGAGATGCAGTATCACCTGGATCTCCTCCTAGTTGAAGTGTTGGGCAACATTATTCCTCCACTCAGCTTATGTTTTAGAGTGTATACTTAGGAGAGTAAAGCGAATCTTTCTTTGCATGAATATAGATCCTGCCCTTAGGGCAGATATGACTCTATACTAGAACAAAGTAGAATAGAACGAAACCTTTCAGAGATCAGACACTTGCCCCATCAGCCTACTGCATGCTGTTGATGTTTGTTTCCTTCAACAGTCTCTTATCAGCTTCTCTCTTTTCTTTCCTACCAAACCGGAGCATGTTGTTCAAAGACACAAATGCATTCAGTGCTAGTTTTTTTTTTTTTTTTCTCAAAACATACCTTTACTCTGTCAGTCACATTTTCTTTCTGTTTATTTTCAACAACTAGTAGGTTATCTTAAAAAGGACCCACCCCCTGAAAAAACAAAAACAAAAACAAGAAAACCATCTTCTTTGTTTCAGGGACTTTTGCAGGTAAGGTAGGTGTCAAGGTTTGAGACCAGATCCTCTTCTGCAGTGTTCGTGGGAGTGAAAAATCTGAAAATAAGACTGTTAGTAGCATATAGAAAGGAGGAGACAGGCTATCCCAATACCGTTTCTGGAGAAAAAAATTTCAGGGGGAGCCAGGCAGAGATGGAGAAGAATCCTTGATAGTTTACACTTTTGGGAAGTCCTGTACTCAGTGAATTACTTGCTTTAACATGGTCTGATTCTTTTTTCCTGGATCAAGACAAATGTGGCTCAACTAAGGAAAGTAAATATAAGATACTACCCGCAAGTGAACTCCTCTTAACTCTCATGAATGAAAAGTAGGACTGTTAAAATGTGTGAGTACTGAGAATTACTTAATCAGTTAACCCTCGTATTTTCTCTGGGGTAGGAGGCTGAACCATCTATCTCCAGAAATGTCTTTGAAAAATAAAGAGCAAGATGACCAATACAGTCCTCCATCTAGGATCCATCTGGAGCATGAAGAGGAATCACGTAACGACTTCCAGCAATTTGAGACCAATGATCAATGCAGACCTTATCCTAGGATCCATTTGGAGCCTCAGGAGAAACCGGATACTAACTTCAAGCAATTTGTCATCAAAAAACTAGAGAAGAGTTGCCAGTGCAGTTCAACCAAAGCCAGAAATATCATTTTCGGCTTCCTTCCTGTTTTGCAGTGGCTCCCAAAATATAATCTGAAGAAAAACATTTTAGGAGATGTGATGTCTGGCTTGATTGTGGGCATCTTATTGGTGCCCCAATCCATTGCCTATTCTCTCCTGGCTGGCCAAGAGCCTATCTATGGCCTGTACACGTCTTTTTTTGCCAGCTTCATTTATTGCCTATTGGGTACCTCCCGTCACATCTCTGTGGGCATTTTTGGAGTCCTGTGCCTTATGATTGGTGAAGTGGTTGACCGGGAGCTCTACAGAGCTGGCTACGACACTGCCCGTGTCGCTCCTTCTTTCGGAGGGGCTTCGAATGAGAGCACATTAGTAAGCCAGACATCAGCCAAGATATGTGACAGAAGTTGCTACGCAATTATAGTTGGCAGCACTGTAACCTTTATGGCTGGAGTTTATCAGGTAAGAAACAGTGGAATAAGTGGTTGTTTCTGGCAGAAGAAATCACTGTGCATGAAACCTCAGATCTGTAAGGGAACTTAGCAATCATAATAATTAAAGCTATCTTTTATTGAATGCTCAGGATATGGAAGAGGTAGAGCCAAAACTTAAACCCTGGTTTGACTCCACAGGTAAGGTAAGGCTGCTTCTATTTTCTCAACCCTAGGCAGCCTCTTAACCAGTGAATTTCAGTCAGCCAGAATTTAATTATTTGATTGTAAAAATTCAGACCAGAAAGGGACCTCAGACCACCTAGTACAACTTCTTAATCTTGTATGTCGAGAACTATCAGATTTGCTTGAAGTTATTTGTGGTTGGTTATTGGCGGAGTCAGCACTAACAGGGAAGAGGGCAACAGAATGGGGGTTGGGAGAGGAAGAGTGCAAGAGTTTTTCAAACTACAGATGACTTCCCCCCTTGTTCTAGAATTGCTGCTCTCATGAGTGACTCTCACTAAAGATAGTAGTTTTCTTGGACTGCCGGGAAGGGAAGAAGTTGGGGACCGCTATTTCGTGCTATCAGCCAGGAGAAGGATTAGAAATGAAATTCTTTTGGTTCCCCCGTAGAATCCACTAATCTGCCATTTTCATCATGCCTCTGCCTTTTGGCATTCAGGAGTCAGTGCCAACATTAAGCCTCTTCTCTGTTACAGACATGTGGAACCAATGTAGGAGGGGGAGGAGTAGCTCACTCTACTAGGTGCTTGGATAGAAGGAGAGGGAGAAGGGGCTGGTGTGCAGAAGAGTTGTGCTCCTCGGAGTTCATTTGTGCTTTTCTGTTAGTATGCCTCACCAAGAGTGAGGAAGGGTACAATAGAATTCTGAGGAATTATTGGGAAGAGGAAAAAGAAAGAAAGAAAATGTTATATCTTTGAGGATATAGAATTAACAGGGGAGGCAGTATGGCATAAGCACATATGCATTGGTTGAAGATAGTCTCTCAGTTTGAAGTTAGATTAAAGAATTCTATAATAATTTTTAAAGTGTGATTCTATTTTGATGTGAATGTAGTTTTTTGTTTTATCAGTTAAAACTTTACTTTTATGGTAATGATATGTAATTTAAAGAAAAAATTTTTTAAATTAGAATTTTTCCAACTCGTGTTTTTATGATTTCTCACGGACCCTTGAGAAATTTTTTTCTTTTTCAAAGCGATCTGAACCTTATTCAAGTCTAAGAAACATTGTGCAAGAAGGTAGGAATCCTAAGCTCTTGTCTGGGCTAGTCAGTAAGGGCAAGTTGCTTAGCCCTCTGAGTGTCAATAAAATGAGACCTCTCTTTGTAAAATGAGAGGATTGATAAATGATTGTGTTTTTTTTCTAGCTCTGACATTCTGTGGTGCTCTGATGGTATGTCTCCACACAAAGAAATACCAGGGGAATACAGGATTTAGAAGCTCTTTTCCATTTATATTTAACACTTGTATATCCTTCCTTCCAGGTAGCGATGGGCTTCTTTCAAGTGGGCTTTGTTTCAGTCTACCTCTCAGATGCCTTGCTGAGTGGATTTGTCACTGGTGCCTCCTTCACAGTTCTTACATCTCAGGCCAAGTATCTCCTTGGACTCAGCCTTCCTCGGAGTAGTGGCGTGGGATCACTCATCACTACTTGGATACATATCTTCAGAAACATCCATAAGACCAATATCTGTGATCTCATCACCAGCCTTTTGTGCCTTTTGGTTCTTTTGCCAACCAAAGAACTCAATGAGCGCCTCAAGTCCAAACTTAAGGCACCTATTCCTACTGAACTCTTTGTTGTTGTGGCAGCCACATTAGCCTCTCATTTTGGAAGACTGAATGAGAAATACAATACCAGTATTGCTGGACATATTCCCACTGGGTTTTTGCCACCCAAAGCACCGGACTGGAACTTAATTCCTAACGTGGCTGTAGATGCAATAGCTATTTCTGTCATTGGGTTCGCCATTACTGTATCACTTTCTGAGATGTTTGCCAAGAAACATGGCTACACCGTTAAAGCTAATCAGGAAATGTATGCCATCGGCTTTTGCAATATCATTCCTTCCTTCTTCCACTGCTTTGCTACTAGTGCAGCTCTTGCAAAGACATTGGTTAAAGAATCCACAGGCTGTCAAAGTCAGCTTTCTGGTGTGGTGACAGCTCTGGTTCTTTTGTTGGTCCTCTTGGTAATAGCTCCTTTATTCTATTCCCTTCAGAAAAGTGTCCTTGGTGTGATCACTATTGTGAATCTCCGGGGAGCCCTACGCAAATTTAAGGATCTGCCCGAGATGTGGAGGATTAGCAGAATGGATACAGTTATCTGGTTTGTTACTATGCTGTCCTCTGCACTGATAAGTACTGAAATAGGCCTGCTCGTTGGGGTTTGTTTTTCTATGTTTTGTGTCATCCTCCGCACTCAGAAGCCAAAGACTTCATTGCTTGGTGTGGTGGAAAAGTCTGAAATCTTTGAATCCATGTCTGCCTACAAGAACCTTCAGGCTAAGTCAGGCATCAAGATTTTCCGCTTTGTAGCCCCTCTCTACTACGTAAACAAAGAATATTTTAAATCTTCCTTATACAAAAAAACTCTCAATCCAGTCTTAGTAAAGGCAGCTCAGAAGAAGGCTGTAAAGAAAAAGATCAAAAAGGAAACAGCAACTCTCAGTGGAATCCGGGATGAAGTTTCAGTGCAACTTTCCCATGATCCCTTAGAGTTCCATACCATAGTGGTTGACTGTAGTGCAATACAATTTTTAGATACAGCAGGGATCCATACACTGAAAGAAGTTCGCAGAGATTATGAAGCCATTGGCATCCAGGTTCTGCTGGCTCAGTGCAATCCCTCTGTGAGGGATTCCCTGGCCCGGGGAGAGTATTGCAGAAAGGAAGAAGAAAACCTTCTGTTTTATAGTGTATATGAAGCAATGACTTTTGCAGAAGACTCTCAGAATCGGAAAGATATATATGTTCCCAATGGTCTGAGTTTTTCCAGTGACTGATTGAGAAAGTAAATAGAAGGAAGAACACTGTCTAGCCCCAGAGGTTAAAATTTCAAGTTTTTTAACATTTTATACTGTGGAACTGGAAATTGTTGCACACTCGAAATTTTAACCTTTTGGCTCGACAGAATTCTTCCTTTGAAACTGATGGCCTTTGTAGATACACGGATGCAGCAGAGCTTTTAGTTAGGCAGAATCAAAAAGAAGAAAATATTGTGCCTTTAAGCTTTCTTGCAAATATGAGATATTCTTGGAATTAAATAAATATCTATTGAATTGAACTGTAAAGTAGCCCCAAAACTTAATTACCATCCTTTTTTTAGGAGATTTGCATCTGGACTGTTCCTTCTCCAGGAGGTAAAGTGGTAAAGTTGGCATTTACATGAGAAGTGCTGGAGCCTGTTTGGCATGGCTCTTTGGAGAGGGAGTAGAAAGGAAGGGAGAGAATGTTGTATGTGCTCTCCTGACAGCAGGTCAAGAGGCTTCTGGGGTAAGGGTAGTAACTAGACAAGCTTGTTCTCACTCGTAATTCTCTATTCCCTGTCTTTGCCCCCCAGATGGCAGTCGGATCTCTGGCTTTTAATAAGAAAGCACCATTCCTCTCGGGCACAGTCTTATCAGGAGTCTGATGGCTGAGCAGGTTTGTGAAATCCTACCAGCCAGCCCCATATTATACAGAGCGCTCTTGGTGATACATTTGATGTTTTTAGTCAGCCTTTTTGTTTAGGGTAAGTAGGTAAGAAATCAGCCAACATAATGAGAATCCTCTGTCTCTTCTGTGATCCCTGTCTGTCCCTGTTTCTGAGTATTTCTCTACCATTAAGCTCTGTTTTAACTTTCAGTCATTTAGTGTGTTTCCCATGGAATCTGTCCTAAACTGCTATGTCTGATTACCAGTGAGTGACAAGTTTGCCAGAGAAAAGGCAAAATGCTGACTCAGCAATTTTATGTAGCCTTTTAAATGAGCTTGAGGCAAACTGTTCAGGACAAATTACAAAAAGGAACCATTGACAGCTTCCCTTAAGACTTTGTTTATTTAGCAGTGAATTTTTTTTTTTCTTTCCCATTGTATTTTAGCAAGGGTCAGCTGGGAATTGACAGTCTTTCTCATATTTGACAAGCTGCTGTTCATCTTTACTCTGCAAGAAAAATTTATTATAACCAACGGAAAAGAATTCATAGAAGTGATAAGAATGCTTCCAAAAGAACATCAATAATTGTAGATGTTTTAGTGAAACAAAGCTAATGCTTACTGCCATGTACCCTATTGATGTACAATAAATATTGATGACAGTGACAGCATTTAACTCTTTAGGCCACCTCAAACTATTATGTAAGAGAATTTAGGAGCATCACATTTATACAGCCTAAGTTCTGTGGGTGTATTATTTATGATAGCTGGTCACAGGTTTTGGCCCAGAAATACTTCCTTTTGAAAAGCAAGTCTGTCTGACGTTGAAAGCTTATAGTTCTGTATCTGTACTTTTAAGGGTGAGGGAAAAGAAACACAGGTTTTCCAAAGTTAGGACTAGTTGATGTGAAATTGAAACATTTAGCACACCATTTTAAACAAACAAGATGAAAATTGCAAAAGTGAAAAACCATTTTTAACCTACTCCTACATTCTAAACAGTTTAAATATTTATAAGAAGCGAAGGCTATGTGTAGGGCATCTATTGGAGTGGAAGACTTTGAACCATCTTTCCTGTTGGCTCCATAAACTGCAAGTGTTGCTTTTCTTTTGGTAGATCTCTGCCCATCAGTTTACATGAAAAATGCCTTTCTGTTATTAAAACAAAGCAGTTTCTTAGGAGCAAGATTTCTGTCTTTGAGGTGACTGACATCATGATTAAATGTAATAGTGTCCTGAGTTTCAACATCCTTTTAGAACTTAAGTCTAGAATTTCAGAAATGTTAACTGCTGTTTGTATTTGTGTCTTTTGCTTATTGTTTGTAGCCAGTATTTGCTGTTTCTCTCCAGTCTTATGAATAGTAATAGTAAAATCAGAGTGTCTTGGTTGTCATTTGTTTTCAACCCCTCTTGTACCTCCACAAGCCAGGTTTGAATCCAGATCATTGTAGATATCCAATGCCATGTGACAGAGTAATGAGTACATGTTCAAGACGACTCTATAATTTAGCAAACCCTAACACAGCAAAAAAAACAAAAAACAAACAAAAAAAAAACCCATAGAATTTGGAAAATCTCTTAAAAGAACAGAGTAGCAGGGTTTGTCTTTTACCTGCCATTTCTGTCCATAACGTGGATATAAGCAATTCTGGAACTTTATGCAGTTAGCAGATTCTTGAATTGTGTTCTGGTTTGTTCTTCTCCCACCTACCCAAACAAACAAGAGATTCTGCTTTTGAAAGCCATTTGTAAAAATATTTAAGGTATCACTAGAATGTAAATCTTACCTTCTCTGCCTGGTTTGACGTCTGCCTATACTTACATGTTCAGATTTTTTGATTGCTGGTATTTAAAGGAATCAAACCTGAAACCAAAATCTAATTCACCAATAAAACTAATATTTTTCATTTGCTTTCTTACTCAAGGGTTTGGACTTCAATTCATTAGGTGATATTTTACACACTTTACTGATACGAAGATATCATGCTTACTCTAAACTTTAGAGTCTAAATGAAGAATATTTGCATTGCTTATTGATAAATGTACAAAATTCTGAATATCTTAAATTGGTCGTTTAATTGAAATATGTGTACACTCTTGATGGTTAAAACAACCAGAGGGGTGGAGTGGGCCAGTGCACCGAGAGACTAAGGGTAACATTCAAGAGACAGATGAAGGGAATAGACCATTGAAAAGACTATCTCTGACCAAACAAGGGATAAAAGAGAGGGACTCAGCTGAATAGGATCCAATCCCTGGTTAGCCACGCACAACAGTAGGAAGACCAGGATTAAGAGCCGCACCTTAGTTTGAAAGCAAGCTCAGAACTGGATTCTGCTTCCAGAAGGGGAGGGCACAGATTCACCAAAGCTGAAAGAGCTGGTAGCCAAGGTTGGGGCCAAAGCCCGGGTTGACCTACTCCAGAGCACTATAGCACTGAGTGACTGTAGCCTCTGATGGTAGGAAAATTGACAGATGCCTAGTTGACTTCTTTTTTTTTTTTTTTTTTTTTAAAAAAGGATCAAAGGAAAACACAATTTGGATAGTCTGACTTAGCTTTTAAACGTTAGTAGACTGAAGCCAAAATTTGTTGGTAAATTTACAGCATGGTAAATGGTGATCTTTGAACTGTGTCAGGGTGTCAGATGAGTTCATTAGGCTATTCTAATGCTAATGACCACATTTTAACAAGAACAGTAATTCTCTGCATGGGTATTCTCTTAGTAATTTGTCATTTAAGATCACACAGTCTGGGTGTTAGCCCGGATCTTAATATAAAAGTAAGAAAAGTGTTACAGTGAACTTCTTGGGAACTTAAATTGAGCCTAGAAGTTATAATGATAAATTCAAGCTTTGTGGTCCTTATTAATGTTCTTAATGAATTGTTTTCCTCTATGTGTTCCTATTGATGAGCCATAACATCAATGTAGACAATACCTCAAATACTTCCTGAGAACCTATGCAGGAGTCTAGGGCCCTGGGCCAGGTGCTGGGACTACAGTACTAAATCCAGTAGGTGGGCTATATGCTAACTCTTTTAGTAACACATGGCGACACTTGGAGGTGCTTTATGGAGGGGCTAAGCTGAGCTTGGACTGAGGTCTGAGCAGGAGGCAGGCAGCTGAGGCGAACAAGGACGCCCCTGGTCTATTCAAGGAATGATTGCACAGTGACAAGGTAAGAATCCTATCGATAGGATTTAGACTTTGCTTAATTTTTCTGTTCTTTAATGTTTCTCTTTTTTTTTCTTCTACTGTTTTATCTGTTCTAGTGATGCCTTATTTGAAATTGGGCTTTAAGAACTGCAAAAAGGAAGAAATTGGATCTAGAAGGCTTTTAGGCTCTGAACTAATTTGGCTTTTTTTTTTTTTTTTTTTTTGGTGTAAGGATTTTAGATAATCGTGAGTGGAATCATTCATTTGAGTGCTAATAACAAGAATGAAAATTATAATGCAATAGGCCAAAATAATATACCAGCTAGTTTGTTATCATAGCCTATTATTAAAGTAAAATACTGTAAGTATACAATTTTAGGGTTTTTTTTTTTTTGAATGTTAGTAACTTTAGAAATGGAGAATTTAGATGTAGGAGTGGGAGAAATTTATTTTTATAAGGTTATTTTTATCCTGACAAGGACTATTTTTTAAAAAAGGGTTTTGCACCTGAAATTTTAAAGTAAACATGTTAAATACAGTTATACCAAATAGTGGATTTGTTGGCATGTATTTTATTTTTCTCCTAGTGATATAAAATAGGAAGGAGATATTGAATTATGAAAACTGGAATAATGAAGGACACTAAATGCTTTTATTGGAGCTACCATGTTTGTAAATCTATGCTGGAACATTGTATAACCTTTCTTGGATTTGAATTATGGCTCCGAAATTGGCCAAATCATTATAATCTTCTTAAAAATACCAACGACAGCATTTCTAACTGAAGGTCTTTACTTGGCAAACAGACAAGCAGCCTTAGCCAGGAAGGATTGTTAACTGCAGTTTTAAGAAACTTATTTTAGGGAAGTTCTTTTCCCACACCCCATTCCCCATCCCTAAAATAATAAGTTACTTGGAATGAAACAGCTCTTGCCTTCTCAATTCAGATCAGTTGGGAAGTTACTGTTTGAGTTCTGATGCTGCCATGATTTCTCAAAAATTAGTGTGAACAAACCAGTCTGTATAAAACGCTACCGTCTTTGGTCTCCTCTGCAATTTTGTATACAAATCAAGACAATATCAGGGTGAGAGGTGAATGAACTTAAAATCTCAGTCTTGTTTTATTCACTAAAAAAGTATACTGCCTTTTTTTTTTTTCCAGTTTATTCAAGGCTAATGACTTTTGGGAATATGTTTCATACCATGTATATCTT